TAAAATAATACATTCAATTTTGTAATATTCTATCTGGATATAAATCATAGACTTCATTTATAAGAGGAGTCCCATTATCCGGACTTTGATGTATAGATTTTCGGTAACCAGAAAAATACTTCAATTCACTCAAACATTTCATTAATGTCGCAAACTTTGCATTCATTTCTGTATCGCTATATTTGAGTCTTAAATATCGTCGAAGTAAATGGATATACATTTGCTGTTGAAGCCTATCAAATACAAACATTTAACAATTAATAGGTATAATAGATTGATTAAATCAAAAGTTAACAATGTTATTCAAAATGAACTTACTTAACCAGATTTTTGTGTATAATGTTGGGCCGATCCGGTGTGAACAATGCCACGGCAGTCAGCTAAATAAACATGTAACAATTATTATTAAACATATAAATAACATGCAAAATGTGTCCAGTAACTACCAGGTCTAAAATGATTGAATCGAAATCCCATTGACCGCCGAATTTAGTGAAGAAATTCTTATTGATTTCATACACATTTTGGTCAAACTTTTTCAACGATTCCAACTTAATTATAGTTGTATTATTTGAATCCTATTATGATGTAAAACCAAACATTGAGATAACTTAAACTATGTGCTAGGTATTTATGAAATCTCACCAAAACTACAGCCCAATATTGACGATCATTATTATAAGCAATGAGTGAACGCATGGGTAATATCTCTACGCAACCGGCTTTCAAAAGGGAAATCTTGTCCTCATCGCAGATACCGGTGAATGCACTCAAATGTCTGCACATCAGTGCAAAACGTTTGATCTCCTGTTCCCCTTTAATAGCAAAAGTTTGTCGTACATCTGGATATACTGTGGCCTCTGATGTTACTTTGCTGACCGGATCTCTGATTTTTTGGGTCGCGTTTAACAGTTCTGCCAAACGATTCATTTCTATTTGATTTAAATTCTTGTCATAAGTAGTGATTTGGTTAGCGATAGGAATCATTGGAAAGTCCTCATCATATGACTCCTCAATCTCTATGTCATTAAAACTTAATATATTTTGTGATTTATCCACAGAATCTGTGTTCACATAATTTTCAACAATCATTGAGACATTGTTTGTATCATTGAGTGATAAATCCGATTGCGTTTGCGATGATGTGTCGGACGAGTGAATGGCATTCAACTCATTATGAGCTTTAGTTTTGCGCCGATTTTCTTCGACAATAGCCTTTCGTTTGCGTTTTTCTTCATCGGAAAAGATGTATGCCTTAAATGATAATTATATTTATTTAGTAATAATTTATAAGACATTAAAAAATATATAATACTTTATTCATTCCGACGGCAAAACACTTCATTAATCGGCATTTACGACAGAATCGGCGCCTTAAGACATTGATTTGACATTTGTTATCAAAATAACAGCTAAATGTCTGGTAATAATAAGGCATTATTCAAATGAAGCTTTAAAATAAGATATTTATGATAATTTAAAATATGTTAGTTATTTACATGATCTCTGAACGCATTTCTCCTAAAGAATGCTTTACACGACTCACACGATTGAACGCCAAAATTAAAAGCTAGCATGAATTTAAAACAAATTAAATTTTAATGTTACTTTTCATTAGTTTGTGAAAAATTAAATATACTGACCGATAGCCTTATCACCGCAAACACAGCATATCAAACTCTGGACACCTTTTTTGGGCATTTTTATCACTACTATTTAATTTTAAACTCTATATAATACTTTACAATATACCAATATGGTATAAAAATTATTGTTGTACAGTCAATTTTTGGGTACAAATAAACTCAGAAAAAATAACTAGATTCAATTTTATAATATTACTTTAGATTATTACATATAAATCCAAACATAGAATGTAAACACTATTTTTATATACCATATATTATGAAGTACTACTAAAATTATTACAATAAATACATCTGTGTATTAAAGTTATGCATGACAGAATATCCTTGATTACCACGACAACCATTTATAACAAGGTTTAGTGCAAAATTCAGTGCAAACTG